GTCTCTGAGGGTCAGGAGCTCCTTGCAACGGGTGCACACATACGCCACCCGCCCACAGGGCAGGTAATCATACATGTTACATTCGACACAATAAACAGGATAGCCCCCACTCTGCTGCTGGGCTTCTGTCTCCATTTTTCCAATGAATAAGTTTAAGTATAAACTGGGATTCTTTTTAAACCTCTGGAATATAGATTATTCTAAGAGTTATGTTTTAAAGAAGGTCAGAAGTCACTAGTGCCCTCTAACCTCCCCCTCTAAACTCCCTCTCCAAACTCTCCTGTTAGCTGTTCCTGGTCGCTGAGTCACAGGCTTATATAGCTCTGGTAGCCCCTCCCCCTGACTGAGGCTCAGCCAATTAACTGAGGCTTCTAGATTTCAAACCTTTTAGAAGCTCCTTCAAACAAACAAACAAACAAACCAACCAAACACAAGCTCAGCACACTGCAAATAACTCCCCCCCACACAAACACACACTCCAGACAGCCACTTACCACAAGGGTCCCGTTTTTACTCCTCCTTTAGCTGGAGAACTCCCTCTCCAAACTCTCCTGTTAGCTCCTGTCAACATGCAAGACTCATATGGAGTACTATTTCTCTCATTAAAAATTGATTTGCAAGTCAGTCACTTTAATAAAGAGCTTCCGTCACAGAGTGTGGGGGAGTTCACCGGCCCCTGCATCCCCATCTGCACTCAGATGTGACTTTTAGCAAGCAAGTAGAATAGAAGGCTTATTCATTGATAGGGATACAGCATAGCACAGGAATCAGAAGCAGTCAGTACAATCCAATTTGGAGAGAGGGGGATCCAGAGCCAGCAGCTGGGGCCCTCTCCCTGCATCCTAAGCCAGCCGAGACTAACTTGCACTCTCAGCAACCAGTCCCAGCTGGGTACCAGTGCAGTGCCCAGGGAAACTGAGGTGCACACACACAGAGTTGCAACAGAACAGTACAGGACAGTAGGAATATCACACAACGAAGCGAACAGAGTGAATACAATCCCCACTATGTTACAGCTTCCATACTGACAGAAAACAAGATTAAAAAGTGTGAGAAGAGAATTTTTAAGTATCAAGAGACTAAGTATGGTGGAAATGCAATGCATAAGTGCTTTGAAGGAAAACCATTCGTGTGTCAAACTAACTAGCACCAGAGCCTCCCATCCACAGGATGATTTGGTGCAGCTTAGGGATGGTTCAATATCGGTTAATTAAATAGCTGATTAATCGCATGAATTCTTATTGGTTAGTCTACTATTCTGTAGTGCCTAGGAGTGGGGCTGGCAGCCAGTGTGCTCTGGCCCCACTCCCAAGGAGTCCCCTGACACTCCATGCTTCTGCCTCTGTATCAGAGGCAGCAGTGTGGAGTGGCAGCAGCCCGTTTCCAGTGGGGTCTGAGCTCCCAGACCCAGTGCAAGCTGGAACTGAGCTAGGCTGCCTGCCCACCTGGTTCTTAATACCCCTACAGTGGCTCTGCATGAAAGTGTATGTCCCAGACATGGCACAAGCTAGGACTGAGCTGGGGTGCTGGCCAGCCTGCTAAAAAATTTACTGGCAGGCGGGGGGATGTAGGGGGAGGGATATATGTAATCTATAGCACTAACCTATTAACTGATAAACTTTTGCTTATCAACTACACTATTACATCCCTAGTGCAGATGCCCCATATCCTGTGGTGGCTGCCTAAACCATCCTATGGATGCAAGGGACACAGGGGATTACAGGGGTCTGGCACAGAGTAGCAGCAGATGCCCTTTTCTCCCACCACCTCTGCACTCACCATGGCAGAGGACACCCTGCTTCCTGCCACTGCAGAGAAGATGACTGCAGCTGGCCAGGAGAGGGTGGTGGGATGGAGTGACAAAGGCTGCGGGGCCAGATTGAGAGTGAGTATGTGGAGGGTGAGGGGGGAAGGGGGCAAAGAAAGATGATGCAACCTCCCCTGGCTCACATTGCGGAGCTTGAGGAAGGTGTGCAGCAGAAACAGAGCGGAGCCTGCAGTTCTATGAAAATGTCCATGCAGTGTGCAGCAGCAGTCAAAAAAGGAAATTGAATGCTAGGAATTATTAAAAAAGAGATAGAAAATAAGATGAAGAATATCTTACTGCCCCTATATAAAACTATAGTACACCCACATCTTGAATACTGCGTACAGATATGGTCTCCTCACCACAAAAAAAGATATTTTGGCATTAGAAAAGGTTCAGGAAAGGGCAACTAAAATGAATAGGGGTTTGGAATGGGTCCCCATAGGCTGGGCATGTATTAAGTGTGCCTCTGGGCTAAATGAAGTATTGACTGTAACATATTTTAATACATATAGAAGTAACAAGTTCACTTCCTTTAAAACAAGAGGAATATCCCCCCGAGGTCATATTGGTCATTTTATAGTTTTGACAGGTCTGTCTCTCAGAAATTGGGAAGGAGATGTAATGATCCAACCATGCTAAAATGATGGAATCTTACTTGACCTTGTAGATCTTTTGGTAAGAGGGTATCCTTCTCTGATGGAGAAACATGATGCAACAGAATTGGAAAATAATTGCAAGATCCATAAAAAGCTATTAGCCAGGGGATGAAGAATAGTGCCTCGGCCTCTGTTTGTCAAATGCTGGAGATGAATGGCAGGAGACATATCACTTGATCATTGTCTTTGGTCCATCCCCTCTGGGGCACCTGGGTCTGGCCACTGTAGGCAGACAGGATACTGGGCTAGATGGGCCTTTGGTCTGACCCAGTATGGCCATTCTTATGTTCTTACGTTAGGTCCCACACCTCCCAAGAGATGGCCCTGACTAGCACTAATATAATTTTTTTAAAAGCAGTTCTAGTAATCAACTCAAAATTCTACTCCTACAAGTCTGTTGTAATTTTATCACTGGATAAATAAGGAATAGTTCTTTAGTATTTATCTATATTTCTTTAAGAATGACAGTATATTCCATAAATAACCTTATTTCCTCTTTGTTAAGGAAAAAACATGCTGCAAATCAAGCAAGGAAGGACCAATGGACTGGTAGGATCCAGGAACTCCTGCGTTCTAATTCTTCCTCTGATATTCCATCTGAGCCTTGGCCATTGCAGTAAATATCTGCCAGTCTCATGGGAGTATTCTGAAGATTAAATATCTATAATGTTCTTCAGATTAAAATCACTCTCACTATTCCCTTTTCTTCATTTAATACAAATATGGCATAGAATGTGTTCTACATAAAAGTTAGAAACATTCTTACGAACTTTTTTCTGTATCTCATTGTCCTTTGGAGATTCATCTTCAGAATTCTCCATCTCTGATTTGTTATCTTCAGGCATTTTCAAACTGCACCTTTTTTTTCTAGAATAAGGATGAGTAAAAAACTTTTCTGATGCATGATTTAAAAAAAAATCTGTAAGCAAGTGCAACACATTACATGCTAACTCATGTAACCACATTAGTGCTCAACATGCTTTATATATAAAAAAAAACAAAGCCAAGTGTCCTTTGGTTACCTAATGGGGAGGTTCTGTGCAACCTTGCAGGAGTCCCACATTTAATTTTCTCTGTTTTCAAATTCCTGGTGATCAGCTGCAAAAAGCATTGCTGCAACCACATATCCTTCAACAGCAACTCACATGGTCAGTTTAAGAAACGCAACTTAAAAAGTTCTGAAAGGAGCTCAGCTGAGTGCTGACTTGCCATAAAAATCCCTATGTTAACTGGGCTCCAAAAGTGGATGACATGTGGTTGAAATTAGGATGAAGGGATGGGAAGAAATGATCTGCAAGAATTCCGAGATACAAAAGGTTCCCTGAAAGCTCAAAACCATTATTTTTTGGTCTTCATAAGTTCATACAAACAAGCATTACTTTGTATTTACACCAAATCTGTTTTAACAGAGCAGACCTGTATGAACGAAAATTGTTTTACAGAAGAGTTTGAAATTAAGATGCATTTTCACAGGTCCACAAAAGTATTCCAGACTCAACGTAAATTAGATTCTCTTTCAATTTTTTCTAACATTTTCTTTGCCATTTTTGCTGAATAGTCTTGCAATTAGAAGTCTCACTAAAAGATCTTTTTTTAAACGCCCTTCACTTCCCCCAACAAATGTCTGACAGCAAGAAAGTCTTAATATACAGATACAGTATGTCAGCCATCTAAATTCTAAACAGTACTGTATAGATCTTTTCCCTCCAACTTACTGACTGATTTGGATTTTGGCTTCTTACGTGGGCAGTTCTAAGCAGGGGCATTTAAAAAGCTATGAAGATATGAAGAGATGAAGTTTTAAAATCTTTCTTGAAATAACGGGATGATTCTGAGGTAACAGCAACATAGAAAAGCAAACAAGTTTTCCAAACATTGTCTAATAGTTTTCCAGGACTGTAAAATATTTTACTATATTGTACCTTCTTTCTGCATTTTTCCCTTGTGCAACTGAAGCAGATGAATGACCAGCTGACAGGTGTTCCTCATTCAGCAATTCTACATTGCCACCAGCATCTATGGCAGTGCTGTGTAAAGGGTGATCTAATATATAAAAAAAACAAACAGAAGTTTCCAACTGTCTGCTTAGGCAAAATACCTAGCTATTCTAACACTGTTTTGGCATATTTCATACAATTGGGCATTGTTAGGATTTGTATGTCTCCTTTGTATCTTTTTCATATTAAGTCTTATTTAAAAATACACCGTTTAAAATTTTTGTGAGAAGAAATAAAAAAAATGTTTTGGGGCAAGCAAGGGGTTTCTATCAAAAGGGCCCCACATGAAGCATGAAAATAATGCATATATGGTTGAGTATAAGCTATTTCCTTTTAATAATATTTGAGAATGACAGCACAATGTCTCTGCTGTTGAAAATGTTTAAAAATATCTCCATATATATTCTTAAGATTTCAGAATGACAGGTTCACTTCACAGTTCTCATTACCTAGAAGAACAACAATGGAGGAAAATGACAAACACCAAGAACCACAAAAAAAAGCCATTTTGTATAACTTTGAGAGATGTTCTGCTATCTACTGTCTATCTTAAACTTTTATATAGCACCTTTCAATGTAGTATGTAAGCCTTACTCAAAAGTAAAAAGTACAAAAGCCCAAAACAAAAGAGGTAGTTTCCCCTTTTCATTCCCATAGGCAAGGAGTAATACTTTGATGTCTTTGTTTATGGTTTTTAATAACTTACTTGCAAGATAACTTGTAAAAACAACATCTTAAACAAATTTTAAAAGGTTAAATACTAACCAAATGATTCATCCGTCTCCTCAATTTGCCCAGACTCTGTTATCTTCAATATCCTTGAAACATCTGGTTCTTCACAAGGAAGTAATTCACTGCGAGGATCAGACTTGGATTTATATTCCTGGGTGGATATTAAAGCAAAGTCTTCTACATCTAAACTTTCCAGTGTAAAACAAACTAAATATAATGACAATTTCAAATACTTAATTATAATATTATTTAGAATTCAAATTTAAAATAGAAGCCATGATGAACTATGATGCAAAACATTTGAAAACATGCATACATTTTCTTTTTCAAACTCAGTATTTTTAATGAGAAGTGATGAGGATTACTATTTTGTATTATGCTAGAATATTAGTTTTAATTGCACATTATAAAACTTGTAAGAAGTGTTACTTTAGACACATAAAAGATCAGCACATTTTAAGAATCAATATCTTTTCAAAATGTGTTTTTATTTGGATTTCCAGTGCTGTAAAACTTGTACTTTAAAAAATGAAATAATTTTAATTTGCTGAAAATTGCAGACAGCAAGTATAATTAAATC